TTACTTTTACCTAAATGCTTATAGTATTTTGTTCTTCTATTGGGTTTCTGGGATCTTGACTATAATATGTCTAGATGTAGATGTTTTTTGATCATGGCTAGTTGGAGTCCTACATGCCTCATTTATCTGTATGTCAAATCCTTTCTCTTTCTTGGGAAGTTTACTGTCATTAACTCTGAAATTTTTTTGTTATTTGTACTTTCTTCTTCTATTTCATGGATTCCTATCAGTCTTATATTATTTTTCTTTACATCATCTAAGAGTCTTTGGATTGATTTCTCATGGTCCCTTACCATGTTTTTAAGATATCTCTCTTTTCATGGTCACTAACCACAATCCTATCTTCTATATCTGATATTCTATCTTCACATTCGCTCATTCTGCTGCAGTAACTTTCAATAGATTTTTTATCTCCTGGATATCTGTTTGAATCTGTTTCACAGATTCCATTTCTTTCCTTTGTTGGGCATTCATGGTTTCCATCATTTTCCTGAGCTCATCTTTTTAAAAAATCTGTTCTAGAGTCTTTGATCATGCTTTTATTCTTCTCACCATCTCTGTGGTTATCTGGGAAATTGTTTCTGTTTTGAATTTTTCTAGAGCCTCATTTATCTGTTTTGTTACTTCATGTACTATTGGTTCAGGGTGTCCAGATGGGTGATTGTCAGAGTTTTCGGCCTCATTTCCCTCAGAGTTTACCTTTGGTGGGGTGGAAGTCTGTGTTTGTGTCTGGTTTAAATGTCTTCTCATTTCTATTTTTGTTGTTGGTACTGTCCTTGGTTTAATTCCTGAGTTAATACTTTGATCTTTGAGATATAGCTGTTCTTTATGTTTTGGGCTCCCAATTACTCTGAGGCATTCTCATTTTCATAATACCAGGAGGCACAACTGATTAGATCAATTATAATACCTTAGCCCAAGTGATAAAATCAGCAACAACAATAGCAGCAAGAATAGTTTAGAAAATGATAAACTGTGGTAGTTATTAATCTATCACTTTTAATGATGTGAATTAAATTGAAATCAAGGACCAGCCCAAAATACATTTATAGTGAGTGAACTCTTCATTGTAGCAACTTTGCCCTTCAGGATAGAGACTTGGAAAGAGTTGGGGAGGGAGGGATGTATAGATAGGATAGGAAAACGTTAGAAGTGAGGTCAGAGGACACAGGGAGATCTCACAAACTCTAGGGAGCCATTGAAAAGAAGAGAAGACAGAATAAAATATAGACAACAACCAAACAAACTAACAGCAACAAGGTGGCTAGAAACTGTAATCACTTTTTAAAAAACTAATGAAAATTGAGAGAAGGAAAAAGAGAAGAAAAGAAAAAGAGGAAAAAATTCAAATTAAGACAGGAAGAGGAACAAAAAGGGAGAGAAATGAAGAACAATGTGGAGGAAAGTGAGAAAGATAAAAAAAGGGAAGAGAAAAAAGGGAAAAAATGAGAGAAAAAAAGTTTAAAATGATTAAAATTAAGAGAAAAACCTTACTTTGAAAATAAAAATAAAGGGTCTTGTTTAGGGTATGCCTCTGCTGGACATGATAGACAGTGTGGGCAGGAGTGTGCTCAGCAAGCCACCAGCTGACCCCAGAAGTTCAGGCTGATTTCTGGCTGCAAGGCCCAAGTTGAGATCTCCAACCTCCTGCAGGGTTGAACTCTGCAAGGTTCTACTGTAGGTTCCAGTTGCCTTCTCTTGAGGCTAGTCCACCTTCCAATGGGAGGTGGTGATTCCTTCATCTTACCAACTATGGTGGTCTGGTGTGCCTTTATTGCAGAGATTTTCTTCACTTTTCCAGTGGGTTTCAATTTTCATCTAGGAGCCTGAGGGCCTCTTTCTCTTGTTCATGGCAGGTGGAGTGGCTGTGGGGCGCCTCTGCTGCTCTGTGCCAAAGGGGCAGGATCACCCGATGGGTGAACACTGCTGGGCTCTTCTGCTGCTCCTCGCTGAAGGGGCACTTGCAGGTAACATATTATTGACTGAAAATTGTAATGAGTTCCTGTGTTCCAGGGCACAGCAGGGGAACCATACTTAGCAGAAATACATTGCATATCTTAATCTAGGTAAAAGAGGAAAATTTCAATGTACTCACCGCAAAGAAAAGGCAATTATTCATTTCAGATGCCCATTTTTGAATTGGGTCTTTATATTGGGGGGGGCTGATTTTTTTGAGTTCTTTATATATTCTAGTTAATAGTCCTTTGTCTGAGGAGCAGCTGGTAAATTTTTTTCCACATTGTAGGTTGTCTCTTAGTTCTGTTGATGGTTTCTTTTGCAGTGCAGCTTTTTAATAAGATCCCAGGTGTTGATTCTTTGTGCTAGTTCCCATGCTACTGAGGATTTGTTCATAAAGTCTTTTCCTATGCCAATATCTTTAAGAGTTCTGCCTAACTTGCCTTCCAGCAGATTTAGTGTCTCTTTTTTAATATTTAGATATTTAATCCACTTGGATTTTAGTTAGGTGCATGGTGAAATATAAGGGTCTAGTTTTAATCTTTGGCAGGTTGACATCCAGTTTTTCCAACACCATTTATTAAAGAGGCTATCTTTCCTCCAGTGAGGATGGTTGGCTCCTTTGTCAAAGATGAGGTAGCTGAGTACATCTGGAGTTGTTATTGTGTCTTCCAATCTATTCCACTAATCCTCAGGTCTGTTTCTTTGCCAGTACCATGCTGTTTTTATCACAGTGGCTTTGTAGTGTAGTTTCAAATTGGCAATTGTTATACCCGCTGTCATGTCTCTGTTGCCTAAAATCGCTTTTGTTATTCTAGGTTTCTTCTGGTTCTAATTGAATTTTTGGATTCTTTTTTCTAGTTCTGTGAAATATACTGTTGGAATTTCAATTGGCATTGCATAATATATATATGCATATATGTATATATGCATATATATATATATTCTTATATCTTTATTTATCTATAACTATACTTTTGTCTGTATGTGTATTTATCCTATCTATCTATTATCTACCTATAATCTAAAGAAGCTGGATATCTTCTCTTGGAGTCTCATTTCCTCCCTGGACCTTTGTTTGTCATTACCTAGAAAGGACTACTTTCTTGCTCATAGAGTTGAATCCATAGACTCTTTGACTTCAGCCTACTCAATGGTTTTGTTTGCATTTTGAAAATTTTCATTTTTGTCACAGGGATAATTTTATCTTCTTTTCTCACGTTACTGTCCTCTCTGTTGTTCCTAGAAAATTTGAAATTATTTTATAATTGAACTGATGATTTTCTATTTTTAATCTTCTATTCTTTTTTAAAGAGTGAATGGAGTTATGATGGTGAGCAAAGATATCACAAGCCCATCTTGCCATGAATTCCAAATTATCTCAAAAATTATAAATTCATATAAAACCATTAAATATAGACATGAAAATATTGACACACTTTTCATGGAGCACCACCTCTGCCTATGAAATGATGGTTGAAATCTGACCTTATGTGCCGAGTATATAGACACATTTGCATAGCACTACCACTTAGTGATTTTATAATCAAATTAACACCTTTCTCTATTAAAAATGAGGAACCAAATTAGAAATGGTGGTGCATTCATCCCAGAGTTTCAGCACTCTTCTGGAGGAAGTTTAGGCAGGAGACCTCAAATTTGATCCTTGCCTTGAAAATATAGCATTTTAGTAAGAACATATATAAAAATACAAATTAAATGGCGGATGCAACTCTGTGTGCCATCAGTCCAGCCCCAAATAAAAGACAAAACATAATTTTAACTCACAATCTCTCTTTTTGTGAAAAAATGATTGAAACTATTGTGATAACATTGAAAAACCTGATGAAATCTGGACTTCCAGTTCGATTGGTGGTCCTGTGTGTATTTCTAGCAATCTGCATGGAGCAAACAAATGTATTAAATCTTCTATGTGAAATATAAAAAAGAACCTCATGGTTGAAACATCAATATTATATAAATACACTCCAGAGAATTTGCATTTTATAATAATTGAGGTAATATTAATAACTATGTTGTTTGTACTGACACATATATGACATAGATTCTTACCATTGGGAATCACGCTTCCTGATTTAAGTACAGTAATTACATAGCGATACCTTCACTTGTAACATAAAAGGAACACGTTAGAGAAGTGCTCTGTATTTTATATTTAAGATCCATTAAGTAGAGAAGAACACAGCAAACATCCTCAGGGAGTCAGGTTATTATGAAATTCTCACTTCAATGGATTTGTTCTATGAGAATATGCACCCTTGAGATCAGAGTCATCATAAAGCAGCTGATCTAAGGAGGAGATTTGGATATAGGTCCCCCCAGGATTTCAGAGACTTTGGGAGTTGGCGTATGCCCACCTCTTTCAGCAGCCCTGCACCTGTCATGAAGCAACACCTGTGTGTCTTCCAGGAGGTGATGCTTCCTGACCTAGAGCCTGGTGACCATTTTATTCTGTTTTCACTTCCTGATGACACAACTTCCACTTTACATATCCAGGTGAGATACTACTCATCATTGTTCCTCTTGAAACCAACCAGGGAACAGAGTGTCCCTTATCAAATGCTCTGAAAGTGAAGACAGATAGATATTCTACCAAAATTTCATTTCATGAAGAAGGGACAGGGCATGCACAACATGATGAAAAATAAAGCCCCTGTGCCTCTCCCATCCTCTTGCCATGTTCTCCTAAATATTTGCATCCACACTCAATTACTCTATCCACAAGGACTTCTTCTCATGAGAAATCAGCCCTTTCTAAAAAGTGATGAGCATTATGAAATATTTTCACATTCACTTCTATTCTCATGGAAATGTTAGACAGTGAAGTTGATGAATGTGATTATGAATAGGCTCTCACAATTACCAGATATTACAAGAATTAACAACAGAGTTTGTTCTCACAGTTCCAAAGGCTACAGCGCAAAGATCAAGGTGCTTACAGAGGTGGATATCTAATATATTTCCAAGTACTGCTGTCCATATATTTTAATATTTACCCCACTAATATCATATTCTTCAACAGCATGAAATCTATAAACCACACAGCTGCTTCAGAATTCCTTCTCTTAGGACTGTCAGATGACCAAGGGCAACAAGCTGTCATCTTCAACCTCTTCCTGGCCATGTACCTGGTCACCATTGTGGGAAACCTGCTCATCATCCTGGCCGTCAGCTCTGACTCCCACCTCCACACCCCCATGTACTTCTTTCTCTCTAACCTGTCCTTCAATGACATCTGTATGAGTACCACCATCATTCCAAAGGTGCTGGTGAGCATCCAAGCACAGGATCAGAGCATCACCTACACAGGCTGCCTCTCTCAGGTTGGCTTTGTCATTGTTTTTGGATTCATGGAAAACTGCCTCCTTGCGGTGATGGCCTATGACCGCTATTTGGCCATCTGTAGCCCCCTCAGGTACACGATCATCATGAACCCTCGCCTCTGTGGTCTTCTGGCTCTGTCATCTCTGTTTCTGAGTGTTGTGGATGCCCTGCTCCACAGCCTGATGCTGTCACAGCTGTCCTTCTGCAGAGACCTGAGAATCCCTCACTTCTTCTGTGAGCTTACCCAGATTGTCAAACTTGCCTGCTCTGATACTGTCATTCTTTATACCCTGATGTATATTACTGCTTGTGTATTTGGTGGTGTTCCTATCTCTGGAATTATTTTCTCTTATGTTCATATCATGTCCTCTGTTATGAGAATGCCATCACTGGAAGGAAAGTATAAAGCCTTTTCTACCTGTGGGTCCCACCTCTCAGTTGTTTCCTTATTTTATGGCACAGGTTTTGGGGTGTACATTGGGTCCACAGCTACAGCTTCACCAAGGAAGACTGCAGTGGCTTCAGTGATGTATTCTGTGGTCCCTCAAATGATGAACCCCTTTGTCTATAGTTTGAGGAACAGGGACATGAAAGAAGCCTTGAGGAGACTTATTAGTAGGACATCTTTCCTTCTATGATGAATCATTTTCTTTGGACGTGTGTTACTAGGGTAAGGCAAGGAGAAAACATTCCTGGCTATTCACAATGTCTGTGATTTCTGTCACCCCATTCTGCTAAGTGATTAAGTAATTTAATGACCAGGAGGTACATTGTCACTTAGGTTGAAGCTGGGTGTGCCTTTGTGTCTAGCTCTGTGGAGTTTGACAAATGATTTAAATTTTCCAAACAGCTGCTTGTTCAGGCTCCACAGAAACAAAGCCTGAAACCAGAATTCTGATTTTGGCATTTTTTGGTGTGCATATTTTAAAAGTTGGTACACAGGTTGGGATGTTATTTATTTATTTATTTATTTATTTATTTATTTATTTATTTATTTATTTATTGGTACATTTCAGGTATACAGTACAGTTACATTCATCATTGGGATCTTGTGCCAGGATGTTATTATATAAAGCTCTGCTGATATCTCTAGAATGGTTTCCCCTGATCACACAGGGCCATGTGAATTGCACCTACTGTAAATCCTACTGTAATAAGGAGTGGACATTCACAGTGTGTGAAGCAACTATTGAGACCTGTGAAGTGGTAAATAGTTTTTTTCTGAAGCAGTAGTGGTATACACCATAATCAGGATGATAGAATACCTTTTGTGCTATTTGGAATCGATCAGTGATCGATTTTTTACTTGTTATAAGAAGAAAGACCCAAATCTTACTACAAATTATTAATACCCTCAAAAATAACTGTCATTGCAAGGATTCTGGCGGTAAGGCACACACCAGAACAGTGGGTATGGCTCCATTATAACTCCCACAAGCTATATTCATCCTAGGACTGGTTCTTGTTCAGGTCACCTGATGCCTGTGGTGAACGCAGTCACACCTGGTCATGATGCCAGAGACGAAAATGTGATTGTCTTGATCCATTGATCGTTAACTTTTCCATGGATCATCTGGACTACATCTCTGTAGGAACAGCGGCCCTCAAAGTATGCCCACATCCTGTCCCACTAATTGCTGACTTGCTTATATGACATATAGGTGACATTAGTAGTCGAGGAGCAGGGGACTGCTGAGGAGGGACTTCTGGATTCTATAGGCCGGCCTTAAATGTGGTCACATGTTTCCTTATAAGACAGAGAGGGATTACCCTGAGAAACATTGAGTTATTTTAACCATGGAGGTAGTAAGTGGTTTGACTGCCCAGTATTTAATTATTAGTATTTGATCACTTCACCCTGCATTCACTCTAGTGCATGTGCTACTCCTGCAGTCATCACTATACAATCTGTTACCTAAATGTGCTTATTTTTGAGCCATTAAGGCTCAAATTTAGTAGCTGAATGCCCTGTCTTATTGTTTTTCACATCACTGTGTTTCAGAATGAGTTACTTGGGTTTGACAGTTATCCATTTGTTTTCAATATTCTGCTTTTTTGTATTTAAAAAATTTGTACATGTGTGCAGTGCATGCATTTTACAATCTTCTTGGGGAGTGGGTACTTGCACATAAAATAGCTTGTTTCCTTATTTATCCTCTTCTCTTTCTTTCCCTCCCCCATTCTTTCCTAATATTCTGCTTTGTCTATGGTGATATTAAAAATTAAGAGCTCTTTTAGTGGATGTTAGTAGTAGAGTGGTGGTGATCTCGGAGCGGAAGGTGGATACACATGTGAAACACATCTTGATTATTTTCAATTCCATTATCCCACTCTCTTTTTCCGCCTCCTTCCACTCACACCCTTCCTCATTTCTAAAAGTACACCTCCTGCTTTCCCGTCAAATCAAGGTAGGAGCAATTCTGATGTTAATAAAATTTTGTTAGAAAAAAATTCTGTTATTTTGAGTAAGACTGACTGAATATTCTCTTTCATGTATTCTGAAGGAAATAAACGGTAATATATTACTTAGTGTGGAATTATTGACGAAACAGTACTGTACTATGACTAGGATCTTGGTACTCGATACATTGGATTAAACCTAGATCTTCTGCATTGAACTAAATTCTCAGCCTCTCTCGCTCTTCTGTTCATTCATGAATTCATTTATTTATTTATTCATTTAGACAGGATGTTGCTAAGTTGCAACTCCAACTCATCATTCTCTTTTCTCAGCCTTCCAGAGCGCTAGGACTACATGCATGTGCCATTATGCCCATCTTGCTTATGATATCTTTTTATGACTGAACTGACATTCAGTTGCATATGAATTTTGTCCACATCAGCATTTCCCCATCCAAATAAATCAGCAGCACAATTCATCATAGCTGAATCTTGGAAATGGCTTATATGTCCACCAACAGAGGAGTGGATAAATAAGCTGTGACATTTACACACCATATGGTACTACTTACTGTGCCACCAAGAAGGGTCAACTTGAATCTTTTGTAGGAAAACAGATACAGCATGAGAACATAATGTTAAGTGAAGTAAATCACACACACACAAGCTTAAATATTGAATGGATTCTTTTATATAAGAAGTCCAAATTATAAATGACAAAAAAATAAGATAGATGTTTCTCAAATGGGAGGGGCTCAAGAGATGAAGGTGGGGGAGAGGGAAGGTAAGGTAAAGGGGATAAAAAAGGAATTAAGCTGTGATACACACATGTATCAATGCCACACAAGGAATGTAAATATTATGTACTGCAAACATGCACTATAAGGAAGGTGAAAGAGAACATTACCAGAGACCCCTGCAGTGGTCTTGGTCTCCTGTAAGCCACTGTGACACCTGAAAGGAAAGTGGGAAATAGAAAAAAACACAGAGAGTGACTTGAGGGAAACCGAGTCTTGGGCTGATTTAAGCTGCTCTGGCAGCAAAGACAAAGGACTCCTAGAATATCCAGTGTTTATTCATTAAAAGTGTGGGAAGGGGGAAACTAGGCAGGCCTCGGGACACCTGTTGATAACGGGACTCAAGCAGGCAGGACTGTAGAATGAGGGCACAAGCATATCCTTGCTTAAGATTAAAACCGTTATTTCAGAGGGGAGGAACTTGGAATCAGTCGACCTTGACTGGGAGTGAACTCAGCCAAGCTCTGCTATTTCCATTGAAACGCAGCTGAGTTATGGAGGGGCAAAAGCTTGTGCCACTACAGCGTGCTAGTACTAGGCAGAGGTGTCTGGCACAATGGACTAATAAAAATATAAAAATTGTCTGTTCATTTAAGGTGCCCATTTTTGGACTGGATCTTTAAATTTTGGAAGTTTGATCTTTTTAGTTCTTTGTACATCCTAGATATTAGTTCTTTGTCTGAGAAACAGCTAGTAAAAAATTTTCCCACTCTGTTGGTTGTCTCTTCACTTTGTTGGTGATTTATTTTGCTGTGCAAAAGCTTAATAGGATGAGAATCCAGTCGTTGACTCTGTAATATTTCTCATGCTATCAGGGATTTGTTCATAGTTTGCCCACACCTATGTTTTCAAGAGTTCTACCTATTCATCTTCCCACAGATTTAGTGTTTCAGTTTTAATATTTAGTTCTTTAATCCATTTCAATTTTAGTTTGTATGTGGTGAATATGGGTCTAGTTTTAGTCTTCAGCATGTAGAAAGCCAGTTTTCCCAGCACCATTTATTAGAGAGCCTGTCTTTCTTCCAGTGAGAGTGCTTGGCCCCTTTGTCAAGCATAAGGTGGCTGAGTGTGTTTGGAGTTGTTTTTGCTTCTAGTCTGTTCCACTTATCATTGGGTCTGCTTTTGTTTTGTTTTTGACAGTACCAGGCTTTTTGTTTTGAACAATGGATCAAATTCAGGACCTTGACCTTGTGAGGCCGGCAGCGGCATCACTGAGCTAAATCCAACACTTATGCTCCTCATTAAGTTTATTGGTACAGTTTAGGTATACAATATGATGACATTCGTCATTGGGAATTTGTACTTTTACACGATATGTCTTGGTTCTTATTTTTTTCTCCACTCTACAACCCCACCTTCAACCACACCACCCCTCTCTATTTACAAAGACCTTGTTTTGGTTTTTTCCTTTTCTCATACATATTCCTTTCCCTTCTTTCCTTTCTCCTACCTCTCCCACTCTCCCTTCCACTTTGGACCTTTTCTTTTTATTTCACAATATCGATTATACATCTGTATCTTTATTTAAACTTTCAGTTTCTCACACTAGAAAAACTATTATTGTAGTATAATTTCAGGTCAGGGATTGTGATTCTCTCTGCCTTGTCTTTGTTGGCCGGAATTGTTTTTGCTATTCTAGGTCTCTTCTGGCTCCAAAGGAATTTTAGGGCTGTTTTCTTTAATTTTGTGAGTTGTGCTATTGATATTTTGATCAGGATTGCATTAAAGCTGTATAATAATTTTTGAAGTATGGCCGTTTTCACTATATTATAGACACTTCCCAGGTGAAGAATTAGAAATGGCAAATAAAATATATGAAAACATATTTGACATCACTAGTTGCTAGCAGTACTGCACTGTAAATCACTATGGGCAGGATCAACTTGCCTCCTCCCATGGATGAGGCAGGGCCCCACGGGAGGAGGAGAGGTGACAAGATGACAAAGTGAAGCAAGGCCTGGCCAAGAAGAGGATGTGTCTTTCTCCCTGTCTATTCCCCTTAAACCCATGAAGCATGATGTTCTGCAGGCTCTAGCTGCTCTGCCTGTTTCAGTCATGGGCGCCCACTTTTGCCTCCCCCTGCACTTCTCTTATCTCTACCACTATAAATAAAGGTGCTGCAGTTACCAGGCAGGTCTTTTCTCCTATCAGGAAGAAGATTCCAGCTGGCCCCAGCTTTTCGTATCTCTTTGTCTTTTCTTCATCCCCCACCCTTCTCCCTCCATGGACCTTTCTGCCAGGCAGACTGCAGCAACTTCTCATTTGAGAGACCCAAATGAAAACAACACAGACTTTATCTTATCCAAGAAAGAATGATTATTATCAAGCAATCAACAAATTCTGGGGGACTTTGAAGAGAAAGGAACCCTTCTTCATTGTTGGTGGGAGTGTAGATTGGTGCAACCACTTTGGAAATAACTGTAGGGGTTCCTCAAAACTAA